ACTAAGTTATTACTAATCTCTGAATGAGATTCTTCCCAAGAAATAATTAGTGTCATCAGAAACTTCCAGATGATGTGGTTATTCACAGTAAAATAATGATTTCTCTGGGTTTATACTTTATCCCTCAGTAAGAAAATAATCAATAGAACTGTGGTTTGAAGTTCAATATCTTGGTTATTTAAGGAAATAGCTTTGACTCGTGCTTGTCTTAAATCCCTCTCCTATTAAGAACTGTAAATTAACGTCAGACAGATTAGCAGTGGTATATTTGGCTATAGAATATTTATAGCAGGAACTCAGAGGCACAGTACATACATGCAAAACCTTTGAATCACTGCTAAAACAATTATTATTTCCATCCACTCATTTTGGTATAAGAATAACATTCGAGGTAAATTTTTACAGGCTTAACGTCTGCTAAAGGTGAATTTCCCAGAGGCTTTACCCTATCCTACTGTTTAATATCAGTGCTTCCTACAGTTTCAAAACACATCTAAGCACTAGGGCAAAGCAAAACTTCTGAAAGCTGAAACGTGCTGTAGAAACAGCCTGCACCAAGAACAGCCAGGTCGAAGCAGCCTGTAAAACACCGAGCTTGAACTGAGACTACGCCAGTGTCTGTGCTGCCCATGGAGCACACGCAGCGCGCCTGGGGATGCTTTCATCCAGCATCAGCACAAGCATCCTCAGCCAACGGAGGAGGCAGCAGCAGTTTTGTCCCTGAGCAAGCACAACGCAGCCAGGGGGTCTCACTGTGAAACAGAGCAGGACCTTACGCAGGGTTAAATTCAAATTTAGCAGAAAAGTAGGATTTTAAACCTCCTCATACACTGAGCTGACCTGCTCATGAAAATACAGTGGTAGAAAAAGGCATGGGGGTGGTGGTGTACAGCCTGCGCTTGCAAACACAGGCAGTTCTTGCAGTCGGTGGAATTCTGCCTGCACAGCTACTCATCCCTGCATGGCACCAGAGCCAGGAGTCCCGCCAAGACATACCCACCTACATAAACATGCCTTAATAGGTGTGCAGAAATCCAAAACATTGCCTACAAATCTCTAAGTTTCTCTAATTTTGCTCTACTTTTGCATTTTTTAATTAGTATTTTCTTCTAAGAACAAGCACTCTACACTATGAAAAAAAATCAGTGTAACAGTTACTGTCAAAGTAAAGCATCCATGCCTCCCCATAGGTCTGGCCATAGGCAATGGGGCATAACCAGTTTGTGGCAAAGCTGGCTTCATTTTTGAAAGATCCTCATGTGAACAAAATTATATGCAATAGTGGTTGGAATGCCATATCATAAGGAAAATCTAAACGTGTGAAATCAGAAAGCTAAATGAATGTTATACTTATTCCAATTTCAAGTTTAAAGTACAAACTTCAAATCAAACTAGTAAGAAAACATTTAATCTTTGAAGAGAACATCCCAAGAGGCCTACGGAACACACAGGGATGAAGAACTCAAGACTGCCTTTTGTAAAGATGTAACCAGCTCTGTGGGCAAGAGAAGCACAGTGGGTGTTGTTCACCTTGACTTTAGCAGTTTCTGACACAATCCCATGGCTAAACTCGTGAGATACAGTTTGAGCAAGTGGACAACAAGAGTGGAAAACTGGCTGGACCACCATGACTCAAGTGTTTTGAGGACTGGTATGAAGTCCAGCCAGTGGCTAGCTGCTAGGAGTGTTTCTCAGAGGTTTTTAGCATTTAACATTTTATTGCTGACCCTGACTACAGCACAGAGTACACCTGCAGTAATTTCGGATACGACAGCAGGTGAGGGGAAGCAGGTGACATGGTTGAGGGCAGAGCTGCTCTCCAGAGGGTCCTCAACAGGATGACAGAAACCTTAGGTCAGGAAAATAAGACAGAAGTGTGCCCAGTGGCAACAGAGATGACTGATCACATCCAGGCTCCATTAGCAAGGCACAGCCAGCAGGGCAAGGGAAATTATTATTCTCCTCTGGTCTCCATCTGTGAGACCACACCTGGAGTGCTTAGTCTAGTTTTGGGCCCCCAGCACAAGACGTATCTCAGACTGGACCAAGTCCAGCAAAGGAGGCCAGAACTGTCCCAGGGCTGGAGCACAAGGATGTACAAGGGAAGACAAGGGAACTCAGTTCAGTCTTGAGAAGAGGAAGATCTTATCACCATCTTTACGTAACGTAAGAGCAGAGGGAAGACAGAGCCAGGCTTCCTGGCACTACGCTGAGTGCAGAGTTAATAAGCACAGCGTGTAACCGGGAAAATTTCAATTAGATATTAGTTGAAATTTATTCACCATGAGAGTGATCAAATGCTGAACCAGGAGCCCCAAGAAGCTGCGAGATTCCAGCCCTGGAGATCTCAGAGGCTTGACTTGCCAAGGCCCTGATCTACACAGGCCCTAGATCGGACCAGAGAGCTCTACAGGTCCAAACTGAACTGCTTTATGGTAGGAGTAATGGCCCTCAAAGCAGCGCTCACTAACAGAAACGGTTTAGAACAAAGGTATTATGAAAACAACCAGTTTATACTGAGGAGTTCTTTGGTCTGATTTACTGCATAGTTATACCATTTTTCCTGTATGCGTTTTCGCATTCACCGGAATCAAAGCTGTAGGAAAACTGAATCAGGACAAGCTTGGTAGCCACCAGGTAACCACCTTCCCCACGCTCACACGTGCTCTCATGTTAGCAGTTTGGAAGATTGTTCTGTTCCGAATTGCAGGGCAACAAGTTTTTGCTGGTGTAGTCTACCTAGTGAGTAAGGGCTGCCGCAGGCAGTCACTGCTCAAGGCGATTCCGCTGTGAGGACAACGTACATCACTCACCTCCCTCCCCTTTGGTCAATCTCAGTGGGAACATAGCCTGTCTTGAGAAGACTATTAGTGCCTTTCAGAGAAGTCAAGGACTTAAGAAAAACATTATTAAAACTCGTATACAAGAAATCACTGTCAGTGCTGACAAAATAAAGACACGTTGCACCTTTGCTTTTCGTGAAACAATTACAGCGAAGCTCTGATGTCCCTGAACCTTGACAATTAGTTTCAGATATAAGAAAGAGGCCAACAATCACTGAAGTTTGAAAAACGGGTGTCAGTGCCAACTACAGACATGTCAGACATGGTCAGAGTTACTGCTAGTGCTTTGTTTTTTCCCTAGAAGAATTCAACAGGGTGGAGTGATGTGCTATGTCATTACCTCTCGCATCCAACGGAGTCATTAGAAGGTGTTTTCAGTGTGCCAGTGACATCCAGTTATAATTTCTCCTCTAACTGATGAGAAAGTTCAGGATCTCCACCTACGACTAGTTAAGACAGATCAGAGAAAGCTGGCTGGAAATCAATCCAGATAACACCTGAAACTTTGAGCTGCAAGGCAGCTGGATGAGATAACAGAGTGTGAGAGCATCACCTACAATAGAACACAGTTAGGCTGTTTAGCTGTTCAGCTAGAAATAGTGAAACCCAACTGTTTGGCACTTGTTATCAGTTAACAGCTGTATCCCATCCACAGAGAATGCAGCGCCACACAGTCTGCCTGTGCTGGACAGCCACCATCAGAGCTAACCAAAGGTGAAGTGATGACCACAAGGCAAAAAGCCATAGTTTTGGGTCCTGCCTGTTGATGGGACATCCTTTCTGTTCACTCACAGAGAGCAGAGGTGGGTGAGCTGGGCTCTCTCCTTCCTGTGAGGGACAGCAGGCACACCTACCTCTGTAAAACTTCTGTAAAACTCTGCTTTGCTTATAATTTTTGGCACCCACTTGGGCAGAGTTTGGGGGAGAAGACTGAAGACTCACTTGGTGACTAACAAATGTGCTCTGTAAATTATTTTGAGGGTGTCATGTTGGTTTAGGATCTAAAACCTCGAAGGTGCTCGGAAACCTGAACAGACTTCTGATATCAATACGCTTTCAAAAAAGGAAGTTAAGTCACAAATACTTCAAGCATCGGATTTGGTGGTGGGGAGGTAAGCACTCAATTATGAGAGCAATTCACAATTTTTTAACCATTTCTTTGCCTCTTGACTTCTTTCAGCTCTCTATACCTGAACTCTCCCCAAAGTCCTCTCTCTCTGGCAGTATGCTCTTGACCCTAGCTTGGGAACAGAGACTCTCAAAAAAGTCAAGAATGCCGTTGTTCTGTGATGAAGTGGAAAAGCTTATCTTAGCTCTGAAAGTCTATTTACAACTTTGCATTAATACACTTTCCTAGCAAGGAGTACAACTACAATGTCTCTATTCTCTCCCTTGATTAGTCCAGTTATTCAGGAAACTGGCAGCTTAGCAACAGATTCTGATGACCTAGAAAACTTCAACACACTAAAAAGCAATATGTGTGGAACACAGAAGAGCTAAACTGGAGGAAAAAACAGTGTGGTGAACAAGTGAAGCCTTCAGGCACTATCAACAGATCTGTCTCTACACGCATTTCCTTTCTTTATAAAGCCATATCTGCTATCGTAACAAAATTCTCATCTCCCAAATGGTTTTCATCCTTCTTTGTTTGACTGGCCTCCTCTTATCCTTTAATTCTTAGGAGCAATTCGGATTTAAATTAAAGCTTTCACAGAAAACAAACCAAAAAGCCTCAAAACACAACCACTTTGAAACACGCAATACATTCCTGCATCGTTTTTATGGGATGCATTTAATGTACATACACGATGCAAAATTATTTCCAATTCCTACTACACTCCGGAAAAGTTAAAATATCATGCATGGTGACTTTGCTCCTTGACAAACACAGTTCTTGTATTTCATATCTTTTTGTAAAAAATTTATACTTGGATCCGTCAAAAAAAGAATGATTTATGGGTGGGGGTCTTTTCAGCGTAGAGAAACACTGATTGTTTTTAAACAGCTTCTGTGGAAAAGATTAAGAATGACAGAATACATGTGGGAGACATTTTGAAACAAGACCAGACAGAACTGGAGCAGTCATTGCTTTAAAAAAATTCTAACTGTGCACTAAATATGTGTGTGCTTGCAGTCAGTCGAACACAAACACCTTACCTGCTCATTTCTCATCAGTTCTATCATTTCCATGACGCTGATGAAATGGTAGCAACGATCCGAGTGATCAACCATGGACGTAGGGAAAAAGGACGACTCTGCCAAATGCTCCATTCCGACAAGGAAAGTTCATGAGTTGCCTCCTCCTCACGCTTCTGCGGTTTGAAATCGAGATTGGCAAGGAGATTTGAATCAAGAAATTCATAGAATCACAGAATGGTTAGGGAAGATTTGAATCAAGAAATTGTTTAGCAAAACTAATGTATGCTGCTGTTAGGGACCATAAATACTCTGAATGCAGAAAAAGACCTAAACATTATCACACAGGTTTGAGTTTGGTTTCAACAAAAATAATTCTGTGCTTCGTGTTGTCACGACCTTTCATGGAAGACAGGTCGTCTTAAGTGGTGAAATGACACAAAAGCTCCAATTTTTTTCCCTGTTTCCTAATTTTTTTCTAAAATTGTTTAGCAAAACAAACATATGCTGCTGTTAGGGACCATAAATACTCTGAATGCAGAAAAAGACCTAAACATTATCACACAGGTTTGAGTTTGGTTTCAACAAAAATAATTCTGTGCTTCGTGTTGTCACGACTTTTCATAGAAGACAGGTCGTCTTAAGTGGTGAAATGACACAAAAGCTCCAATTTTTTTCCCTGAATCTGAAAAAAGCTTGCAAAACTTGAGGTTTTATTTCAGTAACACTTTTATAGTTAAATAAACAAGGGAATGAAAAAGTGTGGGTACCATACCATCATGAATTCAGTATCCTGCATGGAATTCTTAGAAAAAGGAACAGAACTTAATGGATACTGAGAGACTTTCTAATGTATTTTTAATTTACGGATCTAACCTCAAAGACCCATTTCAAACATCTAATTCCTAAACCCTTAACCTCAAAAACCTATATATAATTCTCAAAATTGCATTTTTAATACAGATCTTCAAATTTATAGTTAACTTTGTTACTGAGGGTATCCTTTAGGCCTCATGTCAAAGGAAATATTACATTTCGGGTAAACTCACCGATATTTCTTCCAGGTTTTCTAAGGTTTCAAACCGAATTTGAGGCAATATCGGTTCCTTTACTCCATCACTTTCCTTAATCCTGTAAAGTCTGTCCCATATTTCAAACTCCTCAGGCGACAGAGACCAATTCTCATGAGAGTGTGTTTGCTTTTGGCCTATGGAGAGGGAAACAATAACAGGAAAATGTTACCTACTTTAAGAAAAAGGATACACAGAATAAAAAGAACTTTGTATGATACCAGTCAAAAGAAAAGACACTTTTTCTGTGCCACAAGCGAAACCAGATAATCTGATGTCAGAAACAAGTTTTATGTGTTATAATCATGTCAAAATAATTAAACAACTGGTTTAGGGGAAGGCTTTATATAAACAAATATACAGATAGACAGACAGACATAGAGACACACTCGTATATCAAATACCTACAGACCCTGAAGACAGTACAGGAAACAGGGAAAGCATATGGCTCAAATTTCTAAATGTGTCTTGGAGACATTGGGGAACAAACTGTGAATAAGTAAACGTGCTTTTTTTTCCTATTTTTCTTTTTTTTTTTTTTTTTTTTTTAAGTTACTCTTTAAATACCGGAAAGCAACATTAATTTGTTATGACAAAAATATTTGTTAGTCATTTTTTGAATCTATCTCCTCTATTAAGGACATGCAGATGAATAAGAGGACAAAACCAAAAAGTACTTCGAAAATTCCCCAGGAGAGAGGAAAGAAAAAAGAGGCTCATGAGTTTTTTTGGATTCATAACTGCAAGGGGGAAGTATAGGGCACCTGTGAGCACCAATGCTACACAAAAGCAAAACAAGTGTTCATATGGCAGCTTCCTGAAGACAAGGCCCCGGTGCTGCTTGGCTCTGAGAGAGTACACTCCAGTGACGAAGAGGAAATGGAGCAAGTTTTGGCAGTCTGACAGCAAGCCTCGATACAACCAGTATCCAAAAAAATGCCAAATCCCTCAAAACAGCTATCAGTGCGAATGGCAAAGGAACATCCAAAGAATCAGTGTTGAGAGCATGTTAAGAACGTGATTGCTTTCAGCCCAGATGTATGAAGCTTGGAGAAAAACAATTAAGTTAATTTGACAGTCACTCTGCGTACAGGATTTGGGACAAGTCTGCAGCCAACATCTAGTTCTGAATTAATGCCACTTAAGAGCCTGTATCTCTCAATCTTCTCAAGTTACTGTCCACAGGGCAGTGTGACAATGTTTATTAGAGACTCAAAAACAAATCCCTGAGAGCTCAGAGTACCAGGTTCAAGTCCTGTTCAGAAAAAGTCTGTCACAGCTGGAAAAAACTAACCAACACTAAAGTTTAAGGCCATTGTTAAAAAAACCCCACAGAAGATCAGTATTGCTACTAAGATATTTTTGACTCAAGTCAAAAGGAAGACCTTATAGTGGTCTTCCAGTACCTCAAGGGGGCCTACAAGAAAGATGGGGAGAGGCTGTTCAGGAGGGCCTGTTGTGATAGGACAAGAGGTAATGGTTTTAAAATAGAGGGAGGTAGATTCAGGTTGGATATTAGGAAAAAATTTTTTACCATGAGAGTTGTAGAACACTGGAACAGGTTGCCCAGAGAGGTGGTGGATGCTCCATCCCTGGAGACATTCAAGGCCAGGTTGGACAAGGCCCTGAGCAACCTGATCTAGTTGGAGATATCCCTGTTCCTTGCAGGGGGGTTGGACTAGATGACCTTTGAAGGTCCCTTCCAGCCCTAACCATTCTATGATTCTATGATTCTAAGTCTAGGAGATGTTACGCTCCTTTATAGCTAACACACAGCTCAAGGATCTGGTAGAGAAGGAAAAGAGAGACCTGAAGGAAAAGAAAAGGAAGAGCACTTCTCAGAAAAGCAGATCTCACAGCCTTTCCTGTTGCTCATAAGAACTGTTAAGCATTCGGTCTGCCCTAGCAGTGCGTATCCAGCACCCGCACACCAAGATAGAACATGCTGATCTTTGACCAGTGGGGAGTTCTGGACAGCAGTGCCTGGACACGGTGGAAATGAAAGGCCAGAAAGAGTCCTTAGTTGTAACCAAACCTAACACCCTTGGTCAGCCCAAAGTGACTTCTGCTGTCTCCCTGAAGACTTATCTTCATAACCAAGAAGCAAAAAGATGGCCCACCAAGGAACCAAATACGTATTTTCAAACAGCAGGTTGTTAGGTAGGAAAAAGCAGGCACCAGCAACATATTCTGTAGATGAACAGATCTAGTTTGGGTTCCCTCTTGCTCTTGAGGGAGTATATTCCAGGCAGTGTACTGGAACTTTCCCAAACAGCTCAGGTGATGCCATCCAGACACATCCAGGTATGGCACCAATCATTCTTACCCAGCTGGACTGAGTTGAGATAATGAACTAATTACTACTAATCAACTCAAGGTCCCTATCCTGCCTACAAGAGGCAGGCCATTTCCTCCTGGCTGCGGAGGATGCAACAGCGTCCTTGGTGCCACAGCCCAGGCTGGTGAGCAACATCCAGGGAAACACCAAGAAGAACAGATGACTTAGGTTAGATATAAGAAATAAATTCTTTACATTGAGGGTGGTGAGGCACTGGAACAGGTTGCCCAGAGAAGTTGTGGATGCCCCATCCCTGGAGGTGTTCAAGGCCAGGTTGGATGAGGCTTTGGGCAACCTGGTGTAGTGCAGGGTGTCCCTGCCCATGGCAGGGGGGTTGGAACTGGATGATCTTTGAGGTCTCTTCCAACCTAAACCATTCTATTATTCTATGACTTCAGCTGTGCTCTGTGTTACAGCTCCAAAGGACAACTCCTTTTGACAAAGACAAGAGGATCCTGCAACACCACCTGCCCAAGCAATACATGGTGCAACACTATACAGCCATGAGGGCCTCCAGCAGCTGGCAAAATTTGGTAAGAAATACTTCCTGAAGCTCCGGGCTTTCTATCTCTGTTTCCGAGCAGAGCAAGTACTTTTAGCTGTCAAGAAAATGGACTCTGTGCACGAAGAAAGCACGACAGGTCCCCCTGAGAGAGAGGAATGGAAGGCAACCCTCTTGGCTGCCAAAGCAGACGAGCAATGTGGTCCAGCAGGCAGCAGGTTAATGCCTAAAGTACAGCTTGCTCACCTGCTCCCTTCAGCAGAAACAACGATGTCTTACAGAGGAATGAAAGGTCTGACCATCTGACCCAAATCCATGGATATCTCTGGCTAGAGGAGGAAAGCAGGAGTTGAAGTCTGCTTTCAAACCCTTGCTCAGTCCTACCACCTAGTTGCTGTCACACAGGGAGGGAGACAGAAGCAGATCTCGCACTGAAGGCAAATTACCTTAAAGCAAAGTATCCTGCACGTTCTCACTTCTACATTTTAACATTTTTAACCCTCTCCATTGTTGTTCTACTCACCTTAGATGAGGAAACATGCCATAAGCTGTGGCAGGACTGACGTTTCACATCAGTGAAACCTAACCGAAATGGAAAGCAACAGAGACCGAGACAAATACTACTGCTGCCAGCACAGAAGTAAAATACAATTTCAGACTTAAGGGCTAGCAAAAACAAAACAAAACAAAAACCCACCCATTTTCAGTGTTCACAAACTACAAATTCAAGATTCCGTTCTTAACAGAAGGAAAAAGAGATGTCACAAAGTTCTGCAGAGCACTCTGAAATGATAGTTCACTGAAATACAGGCAATAAAAATAAGTAATAAAAACACCCAGGGAAATAGGCACGTATTTGTGCTAATTAGGAATCATTTCAGCTGAACAGGACACTATAGATTCTGCAAATTATGAAACGCTTCATTTTTACACAAAGCCACAATTCACAGATTATTAAAACTCACTGTGTGGGGGTGAAGAAGAGTCCTCAAAACTAAGAGCAACCTTAAGAAGAGCCAAAGACACTTCAAAAACATACTGACTAGATGAATGAATAACAACATATACACTAGCACAATTCAATTTATAGCTCAGACTACGATAGGTAATCTCAGACCAAGGGTAGGAAGTTTCCATTCTGGTGGACAGACTCCTTTAGGGAATATAAAATATCATGAGACACGCACATCCCATTAATATCTACAGATCAGCTCTAACTTTTTACAGTGTTTTGTAGAAAGCAAAGCTGTATGCTACTGACTGACTGCAAAGCACCAGGAGCTCTTCTTGAGCTCTTCCAGAAGCCAATTCCCATCCCGAGACCGATTAGGCTGTTTGGATACATGTGTCCTGTTGAATTTAGCAGTCGGCAGCAGCACCTCCCCTTCATGTGAAGTAGCACGTGCTCATTTTAAGCATAATTATCTTTAAGAACATCTTAGGAGTTACGAATGCAATGTACTACCAAGACAAACATATCACTAAAATCATTAATGTTATTTTCCATGCTTTTCTGCAGAACCAAAATCTTTTCCTTTCCCTTTGAAACGGGAGGAGAGCAAGAAACAGCCTGGAGGAGGAGAAGGTGGATTTAGCCTATAGCCAGCAGGGAATTTGTCAGCTCTCAGAGCAATAACCTGTGTTTAAGAGCAAGAAAGAAGGAACTGGAAGCACCACATTCACCAGGACAGCATAGCCACTGCGACACCTGAAATCCATGGTCATAAACTGCCCCTCTTCTCACTATGGAGAAAGGTGCTGGTGCAAAAGAAACTTTGGACTGTGCACAGGTTCTGCTGGTTTGCCTAAATTGTGCACTACCGACACAGAATAACGCTTCCTTTTCCAGAAGTGTGTGAACGTGGGAGAGGGAAGTGGGCAGGGAAGAATGACAGGTAAAGCAACGAGCACAATATCGCTGCTGAGGTCGCTTTTGGCTGGATTAAAATTGATGTTGGTGCTCCCATGCACAGCACAAGCAGTTTGTTTGGGGCAGGCATGACTACAGAAGAAGATGCAATCGGTATTTGGGAGAAGCCATGTCATTGACTAAAAAAAATAATTCAAAATACGTATAGCTGAAATAAGTTTAAAAAAAAAACTCATCACTTTATTAGGAAAGTTTTGTGTAGTTATCACCCTGAAAACAATGAAAGGTGTAACCCAAGAAAAGCAAAGGTAAAACACTCTCTAAAATAAAAAAATTTAAAAATATATATACAGAAGGAAGCAGGCAGGCAAGTGAATTTTCAGAAGCAAAAGGCCAGATGCTGTCTGACTTAGATGGAGACAGTTTCCAGTGAGAAAAGCAGAAGACAGAGCTGGTACAAGGCACACCTAAAGCGTTTCACTCTCAGTGCAGCACACAAAGCAGCGTGCCTTCCTACTCCGTGGGCAATGCCAGGACAAGGAATCTGAATTTCAGGAAGTGAAATACATGTGCATAAACACATCCTTGATTAACTGGGGTTTTTTCAAAGAAAATAAACATTTTTTTTTGCATTCTTCTGCAGTATTTCTATAGTTTTCTGACAACCCCTGGAGAAGGTAACGTGCACCATTAAACATCTTTAATTCAAATACGAGATGAACTCAGAAAATTTATCAGCCATCCAAAGGCCTTTCCACAACTACATTAATGGGCACGGGCAACTGGAAAGGCATAAAAACCCCACCAGGTTCTAAAGACTAAAGAAGGTACTGGTACATTTTAGAAAAAGACAGTAAAAAAAGATTGTATCACTAAGTTAAAAACAGCAATTAAAGAATGTGAAATTGTAAAATCAAACAAAAACCACTGTTATAGACAACTCAAAATTGATAGCAATCTGAAAAAGCGTGAGTAGAGTGAAGAACCAGGAGAAGAAGAATTAACAAAATGAGATTCCATCTCGATGAACGCAATGCAAAAAGAAAAATGTAAGAAATTTTCGATAGCTTAAAACGACATTATGCTATCAGGAACAACAGGTATGGGAAGAGCAGGTTTTAATGCACGTTAGCCTTTTCTTGCCACGATTATTGTGGTTTCATACCTCTCAGAGGGGAGATTAGCAGGGAACTTGCAAAGGTAACAGTGTTAGAGATGATAATCCAGATCTTTCAGCAAAGATAAGCACTTCTACCTTTTCAATTATCTTGTAGGATAGTTATTCTCATTTTATAAAGTTAAAAAAGACAAGTATAAGAAACACGAGCTGTCCCCAAAGATATCTGTTCAGACATGTTTTCCTCCAATGAGTCTAAGCCATTTTAAGCACAAAATTATTCTTAATTACACTTAAAAAATTGCTATTCAATGTTAGCAAACTTTAAATAAAAATAAATTAAAAAAAAAAACACAACAAAAAACAAAACTGAGGGAGAGAAAATAACCTCAAATTAGAAGAAACAATATAAGAGGACTGCCAAGAAATGGGATTTTTGCTTTTGTTGCTGTACTTTTTGAAGAAAAGCTTATACAACTGAAGGACAAACTTGGTCAGTGACGGGGCAAGACAAGAATAATGTGTCCTTTTGGTATTAACAGATAAATATTAATGAAAGAGGTTTTGAAGTGGAATGATAGTGTAAAATTATTAGAAATCAAATCAAACTAAGAAGAACAGGAAATATTTGACTAGAAGAGAAGGAGAATGCTTGAAACTACTACGATTCTTCTGCCCACGACACTCCAATTTCTGTGCACGTGTATTCTTCCGTGACCTCAAGAACAAATGAAAAGAGACCATGAATAAGACCATACACGTTATTCACCACTTTTCACTGCTTTTTCAAACTTCTAATGTGAAAGAGGGCACTGAAATAAGGAGAAAATACAAAAAACAAAGACCTTTCTCTTCTTTTTGAGATTTATCTGACTATCACTAAAATCAGAAACAGCCACACACAGTACTGAAGTGGACTCAACACAAAGCTGGTGCTCAGGGAATCGCTGTCACGTAGTACTTGTGTGCAAGATGGGCACTCAACCACGTTCATCTTCGGAGGACAGACCTCCACGCACACCATGTACTCCAGTTGTGGCAGCTGCCAACCTATTTTGCACAAAAGGAACCTGGTAATTGCAGCCTTTGAAGTGTTATTCCCAAAAGGAAACATGCTCAGCATATTATCTTCTTTGTGCACTCGCTGCCTCTCATTTCTATTTAGTAGGGCAGACTTACAAACATCCTAAAATTATTATTTTAATTCCACGTTTTGCTCTGCTTATTCTCTTGCAAGTTGTGTCTGTTAATTCCATCCCTGATTTTCCTCCCTGGCCACCACGTGGGCTGTGCACAAGCCCCAGGTAAGGAAGCCTTACAGAAGGCTGCAGAGGCACAACGTGAAACGTCGTGATCAGGAGCACTGTCACGACTGTGCCACAGCTGTGCCACAGCTGTGCATGCTTACAAAGAGTCTGGGCTGGGGATGGCGTGTACAGATTGATTCGTCAACACCAATTCCTCTCCATTGCATTTCTATCCTGCAAAACAGGAGATAGCATCAACTGTCTTGGAGGCCAAAGGGGGATCTGACTTCCTTCTGCACGGCTTTGAAGCTTGCTTCCCTTTCCTGTGTTCAGCCTGGATGGTGTTTGGAAAGAGGGCAGGTGCGGAATTTGACAATAAGAATTTTTGTGATCAGAAGTATGTAAAATCATAGAATCATAGAATCATAGAATCGTTAGGGCTGGAAGGGACCTTCAAAGGTCATCTAGTCCAACCCCCCTGCAAGGAACAGGGATATCTCCAACTAGATCAGGTTGCTCAGGGCCTCATCCAACCGGGCCTTGAACGTCTCCGGGGATGGAGCATCCACCACCTCTCTGGGCAACCTGTTCCAGTGTTCTACAACTCTCATGGTAAAAAATTTCTTCCTAATATCCAACCTGAATCTACCTCCCTCTATTTTAAAACCATTACCCCTTGTCCTATCACAACTGGCCCTCCTGAACAGCCTCTCCCCATCTTTCCTGTAGGCCCCCTTGAGGTACTGGAAGACCGCTATAAGGTCACCCCGGAGCCTCCTCTTCTCCAGGCTGAACAGCCCCAACTCTTTCAGCCTGTCCTCATAGGAAAGGTGCTCCAGCCCTCTGATCATCTTCGTGGCCCTCCTCTGGACCCTCTCCAACTGGTCCATGTCCTTCTTATGTTGGGGACTCCAGAACTGGACGCAATACTCCAAGTGAGGTCTCACGAGGGCAGAGTAGAGGGGGAGAATCACCTCCCTTGACCTGCTGGCCACGCTCCTCTTGATGCAGCCCAGGATGCGGTTGGCCTTCTGGGCCGCAAGAGCACATTGCCGGCTCATATTGAGCTTCTCGTCCACCAGTACTCCCAAGTCCTTCTCCTCAGGGCTGCTCTAAAAGCCACTAACTACTCAGCTACTGAAATACAAAGTTTCCCAAGGCTTTCAGGAGTTTCCTCTTTCAAGAAGTTGCTATTGGTCTTTGCAGAAAGCACTTAACCAAAGAGATGGAACATGAGAGTTTCCAAGTATTTATGAAACAGCTCTTTCTTCCTAACTTCCAACTTTGTTCAGTTTAGTGAGCCTTTCAATGTTATGTGACTGCATCAGCTAAAGAGCCGTTTCTCTTTTTAGATAAATTTTCTTCCAAGGGTGTGTGCCATCCATAAATATCCTCTTAGTTTCCTGGTTTATTGTCATGTGGAATAGCCTAGGACAAACTTTTCTTGTTTTAATAAAAATATTAAGCCTAACTGCTAAAGCTCAAAAGCAGATTTGGTGCAGGATTACCACTAAACATTTAAGTGTCAAGTGTGCCATCTGACACAGCTCTATCAGAAGCCTGCAGAAGACATCACTAACACTTGGCTCTTCTGTTTATAGCTGGAGTTTCTGACCTTCAGTCATCGACTCCATGAGAAGCGCCATGGAGAAAGATGGAACATAGGTCTGATTTGAAGGACAGATATTTAAGGACAGAACCGCGATTTGAGGATGCTAAAGAAAAACGGTGAGGAATCAAAGCAGGAGACAGCACGGCATCACAGCTGACAGAAATTACACTTTTGCCAGAGACCCAAAACTCACGTGAGCACGCAGCTCTGATATGCTGGAAGAGAACAACGTGAGATAGCAGCTTACGCAGTGCCTGGAAAAACACCATAATCCTCTTACCAGTGACACAGGAAAAGAGAGCAGATTTACGTTGGAGGGAACTAGATCTTCTCTCTTTGGAAAGCGTTCTTGAATTGCTTGGTTCGTACTTTTCAGCAGTAATAAACATTTTATGCACCTTTGGATTTATGCCTTCCGGAATCATACGTGGGCTATGCTGGTAGAAACGAAGCATTTTGTTTCCTGAAATAGCTTTGTGGATGCTCCTTTTGTTAGACTGGCTTTGATTGTAATTCTGTAAAGGAGAAGACAAATCATATGTTGTTGGATTTACTTTTGATCAAGTCATGAAAAAATAAAGAACACCTGACTGTCTGTGGTGTTTCATATTATTTTATGCTCAATCATCAAGATTTTTTTTGGTTTCTTTCTTTTTTATTTTCTTCCCCAAACACAACTAAAACAAAATATGATGCAAGGCCCTGAGAGCCGACCATACTCTCTCTTCTGTGAATATCACCAGTTAGGCCAACATCACTGCTTGGTCAAGTTCTTGAACCGAAAGTTCAAGACTTGCAGTATGCCCCCACGTTATGGTAACCAAAGCAGAGAGGGGAAGGAACAGGACATAGATGAAAACAACAAAGCAATAAGGTTGTAATGAAAATCTGATAAAGAATACATTAAAACACAGCTACTGAGTTCTGTTGTGGTTTTGTGGTTTTTTTGGTTGTTTTTTTGTTTTGTTTTTTTTTTTAAGAGTTTTCATACTAAAATAACCAAGTCAAATTAAATCTGAATTACCATCAGTTTGTGCCTAGGTAAAACATTCAAAGCAAAGGTAACAAAAATCAAACAAGTACCAAAGAACATTAGTTGTTCTTTAAGTTGCAAACAATACAAAATATAAAACAATGTACAGCTTTTTGCACTCTGTAAATAGATCAGAAGGAGGCACAGCACTTGAGAGAAAAAGAAACACAGCCCTTGCCTGGGGGAATGTACAATCTGCAATAGATACAGGGATGATGTAAATTAGATTACATCAGGAACAAAGAAATGAGGTCAAGCAAAAAAACCCCATAAGATTATTTGTTAATGTCATACATGCTCCAAGTCCTTCTAATTACACTCCATTTCTATTGTGCAACACAGAAACCATGACAAAGATGGAGAAACTAAGGAAAGAAACCAGTTCCCCCCTCCGAAACTGCACCCCCACTCCCCCAGGATTTCTTGTCCTAATACTCTTCTGAGTCTGTGACAGGGCACCGCCGACGGGGACCGCGTGCCCAGCCGGGCAGACCAAGTGCTCTGAGTGGGACAGTGTGGCATTATAGTTATATTCCCTTGAGAGAGAGGGCCTCTGGAAGCCAGCATTAGAGGAGACGGACACAAAAAGATGCTCTCTGAATAAAACCGGCAGAGGTTAACAGCCAGCCCTAACAAACTGTCTCTCAGGCATACCAAGAAATACCTTTTTAATCCTAGAACAGGCAAAAACGCCTTTTTATGGAAAAAAGCTTGTATGAGCAAATTCATTGCTTACCAGAATTGTTACTTGGCTGTTACTGAGACAGTATGTTTCCTTTTCA